ATTGAGCACCTAATATGTAGCAGGACTGTTCCAGGTTCTGGAGCCACAGGAATGAACAAGGCACACCTGATTCCTGCCTTCTGGGAGCCGAGAGTCTCTTCCACGGTCACGCGCTGTGGATATCCAGAGCGCTCAGCAGTCTCCTCATTTCAGCATTATTATAGGACCGTGTACGGATCCTATACATACGGCCTATTGATACAGTGTCATCAACCGTATAAACAGATGCACACAAAAATGCACATTCCTGTGACGAGGAATGAAGTGTGTCCACATTCATTATCTGAGCCATCCATGGAGCTTTCTGCCTAGTGTCATCTACCATACTTTCAAAGGGACAAAGACAATATGGAGCACATTCATAAGAAAGCAACCTGAAACCATGTTATAAGACGAAGGAGTTTAACTTTGAGAAAATAAACATGTTCAGTGCTCTGAGTGAAAGTCAAGGAAAGAGAATTCTGCATCCAGGACTCTCAAACTCGGTCCTTTTTGTTCATGCTTACAATGACCTTTTTCTGTTTTTAAACGAATGTTGAAGGAGATAGAGCAATGGGCAGTTTCTTGTAGAGTTAACAAATAATGACTAAAATATGTTCAGCATTAAGAATAGTACTGTCATGATGTACCAAAATAAAAAGGACAGACTAGAGGTTGAGGATTTAAAAGACTTCCTCAAATGTGTTGAAAATCTCCCACTTGGAATTAACTATAGGACAACCAGCTAATTCTGAATGTGGAAGACGCTGTGCTCCCAACACAATCACTAGCATAAATTCCAGGAGCTGTGATAGTAATTAAGTTGATGTTTCCTTGCTTTTCTGTGCAACCCGGGTAACAGAGGCATAAGAATGTTACTGTTTTTTGTTTTGGTTTTTGTTTTGTCCATTGCATTTATCTATTCATAGAAACCACCCGATTTATTTCACTGTCAGCCTGTAAATAAACAGAAAACAAAACTACAAACTATCGTAAAACAAGTCAGAAAACACAGAGGAAGAGCCTTTCTTTCTGGACAGCTGCAAGTGAGAAACAAAATCGGAAATAATGCTGGGTAAAACATTTCAAATCTGCAATGCTTCTTCTCTTACTCCACTCACAAGGTGCTCATAAGCAATTAAGAAGTAACTCACTGGACAAGATAATGAAGAATGAAAAAAGCACGAGGCATACAAAAGAAATGACATCCACAATACATTGTCAATTTGGCTTTGCCTGAGCACACCTGAAGATATCCAAGTTCTTTTTTTTTAATGTTTATTTATTTTTGAGAGAGAGACAGACAGACAGAGTGTGAGTGGGGGAGGAGCAGAGACAGAGGGAGATGTGGGGGAGGAGCAGAGAGAGAGGGAGACACAGAATCCGAAGCAGACTCCAGGCTCCGAGCTGCCAGCACAGAGCCTGATGCAGGGCTCGAACCCACGAACCGTGACATCATGACCTGAGTCGAAGTTGGACGCTTAACCAACTGAGCCACCCAACACCCTAAAGGTATCCCAAGTTCTAACTGGAGTCCAAACATGTGAACCAAAATCCTATTTACATTTTTTTTTAACATTTATTCATATTTGAGAGTGAGAGAGACAGAGCATGAGCAAGGGAGGGACAGAGAGAGGGAGTCACAGAATCTGAAGCAGTCTCCAGGCTCCGAGCTGTCAGCACAGGGCCCAATGCAGGGCTCGAACTCACGGACTGCGAGATCATGACCTGAGCTGAAGTCGGACACCCAACCGACTGAGCCACCCAGGTGCCCCCCCCCCCCCGTTTTTTTAAAAAACATTTATTCATTTTTGAGAGTGAGAGAGGCAGAGCATGAGCAAGGGAGGGACAGAGAGAGGGAGTCTATTTACATTTTTAAAAACTTAATATAGTAAAGACTCCAAACGAGAAAGCAAAATACTCCATAAACTTTAATAATGTCTCATGGTAATATAGAAGAAAATGTATCACCCTTTCTGATGTAATGTATTTAGTTTCTGATCCTGAAGTCCCAAAAGTCTCTATCCAACTATCTGACATTGCTACCTAGAGGTCTAGGAAGCATCTCAAACTGAATGTTTCCAAGACGGAAGTCTTGGCTTCCACCCCTCTCTCAACCTTTCTCCTCCCTTCAGACTTTCTCACCTCAGTTAATTAATGGCCCTGGCATCCACATAATTACTCTCACCCCAAAGCTGGTGGTTTTCCTTGAGTCCTCTCTTTCACTGCCACCAGCCCCTGCGCCCAATCCAGTTGATCAACACATTTCATCAGCTCTACCTTTGGGATATATCTCAAACCAACCCTTGGCATACCTCCACCTGTTACTCTGGTGCTCATAACTGGTCTCAATGGTCGCTATGCTTCCATTCATATTTCTTCCTATCATCCCTTTTCCAAACAACAGTTAAGGTGCTCTTTTAAAAACGTAAATGCGGGGGGAGGGCGCCTTGGTGGCTCAGTCGGTTAAGAGTCTGATTCTTGGTTTTGGCTCAGGCCGTGATCTCATGGTTTGTGAGTTCGAGTCCCACGTTGGGCTCCACAGCTGGCAGCCCAGAGCCTGCTTGGGGTTCTCTCTCTGCCTCTCTCTCTGCCTCTTCCCTGCTCATACTGTTGCTGTCTCTCTCAAAATAAATAAATAAAAACTTTAAAAAAGGTAAATGGATGAAAGAGTGAATGAATGAATGAAGTTCTGTCCCTTGTCTACAACCCTTCTATGACTTCTTAATGCACTTAAAATAAAATCTGAACTATTTACTTGGTCTGAGGGTCGCTATAATGTGCCAGGCTTGGTGACCACACATGGTCGGGCTCCAGCCCGCCTCTTTATGTATCCCTTCCACCTCCTTGGTCATAGGGCTATGGTTATACCGGACCCCTCTCCATTCCTCAGCACTGCCAAGCTCGATTTTCTCAGGACCTTGGAGTGTTGCCCTCTCTGTCTGAATTCTTTTCTCCTAGGGCTTTGTACAGATGGCTCCTTCTTGTTATCCTGTCAATTTTCTCTGACCACACTATTAAAAAACAAAAAAAACAACAAAGCCAATCCCCCTTTGTAGTCAAACCCAGCTACTCTCTGCACTGTCCAGTATGACAGCACTAGCCACGTGTGGCTATCAAGCACTTGAAATGTGACCAGTCTGAATGTCAAGGTGCTGTAAGTGTAAAATATGCAAATTTAAAAGGCTTAGTACACAAAAAGGCAAAATAGCTCATCAATAATTTTCAGGTTACATGCTGAAATGATAATATTTGTGATACACTGGTTTAGCTAAAATAGATTATAATTTATGTCTCTCTCTACTATTTCAAATGTGACTATTAGAAAATTTTAATTATCTATGTGGTTTGAACATATAGCTCACTTTACATTTTTGTTGGCTAGCATTGCTTGATTCCATTATGCTATTTTATTTTGTTTGTTGCACTTTTCGGAAATTATCTTTTTTGTTCACTCATTGGCCATATTCCCCCATTATAATGTAGCTCCATGAGAGCAGGAACCTTGAGTGTTTTTTTCATTGCCGTATCCCAATTTCTTTTTTTTTTTTTTTTT